CCGTGCCCATCGTTCCCCCCCCCGCGCGGGTCTTGCTGTTCCTCAGCCCGCAAACCGGAGCCTGGGGGAGGACGGAGGGTTACCCGGCTTTCGGGAGACGCCCTGGTGAGGCTTCAGCCTGGATGTTCAGGTCCTCAGCTAAATTTCCCCGAGTTAAACAGCCAGATTCCATGGAAAAACAACCACCGCCACCACCTGCTTCCCAGCGTCCCTCGGTACATTTATAGAGTCATAGAATCACAGAATGGTTTGGGTTGGAAGGGACCTTAAAGATCATCTGGTTCCAGCCCCCCTGCCAGAGCGGGGACATCTTCCACCAGACCAGGTATTTGGTAGCTCTGAGCCTAGATTTACCGGCAGCATGGTGAGGAGCGTGCGACGGAGCGGCGAGGAAGGGTTTCCTTCCCCTGGTACCATCTCTCTCCTCTCTGGAGAGCGAATCAACGCTGCGCTGGGCTTTGGGCAGGCAGAGCTCTGCCGGGTTTGTGAGCAAGGTGGGGAGGAAGGATCAGGCTCTTCACTTGGACCTTCCCTGCCCATCAGCCAAGTCTGCCAGCGGTAGTCCCACCGCAGAGCTGATTCCAGCAGGTCTGTGAGCCATGGGGGTGGGTGTGTGCACGCGATGGGGCAGCCATTCACGTGGGCAAATTCTGGTGGGACGTGCCAGTGGAGGTTCTCAGGCTTGAGCTTTCAACAGAAGGACATTACCCAGCTTGCCTCCATCAGTGTCGTCTTGTGTGAGACAGAGACTCTTGGGCAGGCGTCTGAGCACACCTCTTCTCCTGGGCTTGGCAGGATGAGAACATACTCTGCCCTCCATGCGTGGGAAAGCAGGTTTGGTTGCAGATCACCTCCACAAAGGGGGCTGGTCCTTTTCTACCAAACTCCCTCCGTGCCCAGCTGTGCATCCCTACAACAGGCCGCAGCCGTGGCGCGCACACGGCGTGCGGAGCTGAGGATTAGAGCTCAGGCGCGTGTGCGGTGAGGGGGCGTGGGGGGTCCCCAGCACACTGAGCATGGTCAGTCGGTTGCTGTGAAATTATGGCAGGGGGGGGAGGCGGTACCAGTTCCTGTTAAGTAGATGTAAAGAGTGAAAAGCACTTAAAGAATGAAAACCACCCGAAGGATGAAAACCACCCAAACGTCCACATAATCTACGGTGTGCGTAGCCGGTGAATATTGTTCTCCAACCAAGGGAGCCAGTGGTGACTCTCTGTTTCTCACGTTGCCTGTGTTTGTGCACAGTCTTCGGTTTGTATCTTGTGTCGTTTTCGTTTAATTCATTAAGCTCTTCTGTGCTTACAATGCTGTTGGCTTCACTTCAGGGGCTACCATACTGGGTTTGGACTGTAGGATTCACTAGCACTAAAACCATCTGGCTGCTGAAATTTTCAGAAGTGTGGGCCATAACCGAGGCACTTTTAGCCCTTCCTGCCGTCTAGTGCCCAACTCCGTTCCTGCACTGAGGCTCAGCAGACCACGGGTCTCAATTCCATACCCTAAACTAAGCCTAGAGGCCACACTCAGCAGCCTGGGGCAGGGGCTTGGCTTTTCAGAAGCAGTGAGCAACTCTCACCAGGTCCAGGGGTAGAACATCATTTCCAAAATTGTGGCCACAAGGGTTTGTGTTTTCAAACTCTTTTCTTTTTCTTTTTCCTTCTAACCAGCTGTGCCATAGCTTTAATCAAATATTGTAATATGCAGGCCTTATAGTTAAAGTTGGATTGGTTTTTACATGGTGAAATTAAAATTTGAGCCCACTGGGAGAGGAATGTAACAGATCAACAAAAGGGTTAAAATAACTTGTCTGAATAGTGTGCTTCTTGGGGTTCTGGACTTGCACTTTGCTCTCCTAAGCCAAAGCTCCTCTTCGTTGTCAGCAACAACTGGAGGTGGCAAAACAAAGTTTTATGCAGTAATGTCACCTGTAAGTTTTATTTGCCTGCCCTGGCAAAAAGAACAACCAAGCAAAAACAGTAACGAGAGAGTTGCAGTATTGTCCCCAGCGCATTCACACCGTCCTTTCGTCTTTGCTCACACGAAGCTGCAGCCCGTCCAGCTTTCCATAGTGGCCTAGGCTGCTTTCGTGTTTGATGAGGGAGGGTGCTGACGCCTTCATGTCAGACGCTTGTTCTTGCACATGGGATCTGAGAAGAGCAAAATAAATTCTGCAACGTAGCCCCACGCCCTCCTGCCAGGCTGTCGAGGGGTGCTATTCCTCTCATCGGGCTGCAACAAATATCTCTTCTAAAGACTCTCTTACTTCAACCTTTGCAGCCTGGATGGAGAAGAACCAGGCATGCCTTGCAAACCCAGGAGCACCTATGTCTACTTTTGGGGAAGTGGGACAAGTGTCAGGAGTAATGAAGTTCTGCTCTCTGCTGAAGTCCTTACTGTTTTTCTTTAGGTGCAGTCCACCCTTCTTGTTCTAGGTGCCCTCTCTTCAAGATGGGCCAGGAGGGAAATAACCTAGTAGGTGGCTTATAGGAGCCAAAACACATCAAACGGATGTTTGTCTTTCTGCGTGTCTCAGAGCCCGGGCCTGTATGTCTCCCTCATCCAGTCACCTACCAGCACACACACTTCAGGTATTCACCCACTCCTGCAATCACATTACTACATCTGGGAGCTATTTCTCCATCCGTAACTCCTCCATTTCACCTTCTTTCATCTGCTTTGTGTCAGGCCCACCAGTACCGTCACGACTAGCGCAATGCTCTGTGTAGGTGTGAGGCAGATTAATCTGGCAAAGCACAACACTGACTAAGGTGTGAAAGGGTTAGCCATGTATGCCATGTGGAATATTACAGCAGCAACACTTTGTTAAGCATACAACTACTAGCGACATAATCAATCATGGATACATCTCATTGTCCTCTTGCAACGTTCTCCAGGGGGATTTACAAGCTGTTCTCCCCCTCCACCAAAGCAGGCAGGCTGGAGGTAAAGCTACCTCAGCTAGAGGAAACCAGTAGGAACCTAGTAGCTTGGTCTAGTGCAATGGAGTCTGTGAAGGGTATTGTCCAGTATTTCCAGCTGGGCAGAAAGGAGAGATTGGGACATTACTAAATATAAATAGCAGGGCGCTCTGTCACATTAAATACTTTACATGTTCACACCCTTGGCTGTACACAGCATGCAGGATGTTGGGGGCTTTTTTATTTTCCCCGCGACCGTGCTTTCCCCAAGTGAAACCGTGTTCCTTGCTTTTGTAGAGCTGAGAGTCCTGATGCACATGGTTACAGATCACATATACTGGATAAAGA